GAGCAGTAGAAAGTGATGAAGGATTTTGTCCAGAGTGTCAAAAGGCATATTTTGTGATTGGCACCTACTGGCACTAGCTTAAAAGTGCTGCAGTAGAAAGAGTTGTTAGACAGCATGCTCCAAAACGTGAACAGCTTTGTCCTGAAGAACTTAGAGATCTGTCTAGAGCTAGAGTAGGGAAATATTGTCTGGCCTCCTTATTATACAGTGATTCTGGTCACCAGAAGATTTAATTCTTCAGACAGAGCAGTCTTGACAGAAGATTTTAAGCCTCCTGAGAGCCAAGACAAATCCTGCAGGCTCTGTCCTTCCTCAATATTTGCAGTTAGCTCTGACATCTGTTGCAGTCTGGAGCTACCTAGTCCAGGTGGGATCTTCAGAGCTTTCTCCAGGAGTGCCTAACCCTGGTAACACTTGGACTATGTTCAGGACCCATCTTTTTTTGGGCTGGCACATAATTTTGTTCTTCCCCTTAGACTGTCCTCATTTTGTCTCCATTTCTGCAGCCTGGTAGTTCTGATGCTGCAGGGAGGCAGATTTTTCACACCAACCTATTTTTAAATCACTTGACATGATTCAGTGTGGGCCCTTCTGATTAAGAGTGTAAAGATAGTGCTCAATCTGAGGAAAATAGCACTAGTTCTGTGCTCTTGTCTGAAAAAGGGGGATCCACCCGGCCTGTAAAAAAAGCTTTGAGGGAGACTGACCTGTTACAGTAGTTCTGGGGGTGCATATACTCTGTCCCATGTCACCATCAGAGACCTTCCTCAGAGAAGCATGGCACATACCCCTGTTACCATCTGTGTCTTCCTTTCCTAGGAGCCAGAATGCAAATTTCCAGAACCCCCGTTGCGAGAATACCCCGCTCATTGGCCGGGAGTCCCCACCTCCCTCAGTAAGTCTCTCTTTACTGCTCCTCTCTGCTTCAGCCACTTTGGGGAATACACATTTACCACTCCTTTATACTCTCAAGGAAGCTGATTGTGCAGCCAAACACAGGATCTGGCCCATAAATGGCAGCAGTTTGAATATGCAAGCCATGTCTCACCTGCCATGGAGCGTAAACCCCTGCTGTGCTACTTTGGAAGTTGCACATAAAAAGAATAAAGATCTATTAACGCTGGTAATCCTATGGGCCCAGTCCTGCCACCACTGAAATGCATGAGTATCTTGGTGGGTGACT